AGCCCTAAGCATAAATTCTCTCTCTAAGTCAAGTATCGGATTGACATTGATGACACATCTCGAAACCTTTGTTTCAGGTACCGAAAATTCTATTTCACCTATCTGCAATTATCAACGGAGATACTGCTTGTGTCCATTCCTCGTCCTCGAACTCGAGATTATGCACGTGCGGATTTTGGTAGCATCAATTTGCAATCAACAAATTTCTCCCTTTTGTTAGCTAATTGTAGGGTTCCTCATTTCTTCATTTTTTCCAATGAAAAAAAAAATTTGAATTATTACTTTTCCTCGATCTTCCTCAATGCGATATGTGATTAAAGAAATTTAGGATTTCCACGGACTCGGTCATCTAATTCTTTATATTTTGATAGGTAACGAGAAATGTCAAAATTATTTCATTGTAGACACTCATACGATCAAATTATGAAAGGAATTTTGACAAAAATGAACAATTATGAAAATTAGTCCGATAATATGCAGAATGAATGTTACTTTCCAAAAAAACCAATTCAAACATGTTCTATACAGTAAATGTAAGAAATACCGACGAAATCCCGACGTCTTTGGATTGAACCTCAGTTTCTAATTGTTACTCAGGAACAATATGTGTTCCATCAATTCTTTCCTCGATTGTCTTTGTATATTCGGATCACGGTGGAAAAATCATGGAGTATTTCAGTTGCATTTGTAACCATTGGTAAAGAAAACAAAGAAAAATGGTTTTTCGACTTGTCGGCAAGGTCTTGCGTTGGGTGGGTCGATCGAGTATTTCAATACTCGAAGCCACTCATTACACTTCGCAAGTATTTCATAAATGAGATCATTCGAGTTCACATATTTACGGGATCCGAACCCAAATTGAAATCGAATATTTATTTTAGAAACTCGAGCTAACAATACAAGTAATCTTTCAATATCTAGAAGAAATAAAATATGCCATCAAAGGCATATTTCAACACTATTTTATCCACTTCAAATATGTCACCATATACATCTAATATTTAGATTTTGACTTTGCATTTGACGCCTTTGAGAATTAATTGTGGGGAGGACAAAGCGTAAAGTGAGATAATGAGTGGCTACGAACAAGAGTAGTATGAATCAATTCTGCAAATGAATGCATATTATTGTACTTACTTATTGCGCATTATAAACTTGCTACTCGCTAGACATGTCAGAATGAATAGATTGTAAAAAATAAAAAACTTACAAAAAATAACAAATTCGATTCCAGGGTCAAAAATATTGCGCGAATTCAACGGAGGACCAAAAAGTTATAGTTGTACCTTAAATTGGTCCATAACTAATAAGAAGGCAATGAGCCTAGGTTGGTGACTTTCCTTGCACTTTGACAATGGTGCCAATCTAATTACATGTTTGATAAGTGATTATTTGCACTACAAGTATATTTTGCACGGGCAATATGAGACTTAAATGTGGTCGTTAAACAAAGCTACGGAAAAACATACAATTTTGGTGCAATCTTATTATCTTTGGATTCGATTATAGAGGATTGATCAAGTGATGCACAAAAATGATCGGTTCCTAAAAATCTCTATATTCTACCATCTCTATACACCCATGTACTAGACATATAGTGAAAACAAGAGGAGATCTATCACAACGTGCGGGTATACACG